ATGCACGAACGCAAGTTTGGCGAGCGCGAGCACAATGACCACCACCCGGAGCTGGCCGCGGCGGGCATCGCGTACGTGCCCCTGGTGTGCTCCGCCTACGGCCGCGCCCACCCGCAGGCGCAGGGGGAACGCCTGCTGTGGGCGGAGGTGTCGCCCGCGCGGGTGGCGTGAACAGGAGGCCGCGTGGTGGTGCTCTTGCGGGAGAGAAAAATCAAATGATGGCGCTGATGACGTTCATGATGAGGGCGACGACGATGACGATGCTGTTGTTGATGGTGGTGGTGATGATGATGATGGTGATGGTGATGGGGATGGTGACGATGATGGTGATGCTGATGCTGATGACGAAATTGTTATTCTTCTCTCCCTGTTCGCTCCCCCCCGCCCTTTCGCATTCCTCCGCCGCCGTAGCTGCTTGTGGATAAGATCAAGGATACCGCGTGCCTTACGCGCGAGATTAAGCGAGGGTTGGGGTCGTTGCTTCGTCGCCGTCCCATCCTCATTTGTTTTTTTTTTCTCTCGTCCTATCATATCATCTTAACGGGTTTTTGAACATTGGTATACACGTACGATAAATTGATCATAGGTGACGATACCCATATGTTGACATCACCATTACACCCACTGTCGCCAGAAATCAAATTCCTCTGGCGAGTGGCTGGCTATCAGCCGAAAACTCTAATGATCTGTCGGACATGCAAGTGGCCGCAGTCTGTGATAGCAGTACGCTTGCTCCATGGGAGACCGTTCAATATCCGTCGAATATCCAACCTAATAGTGCATTCGGCCATATCCTTCCAGGCGCTCCTATCATGTCGTTGTGTGCGCCATGACTCTTGTGTTCCGACGGAAGACAGCGAACTGCCGTTAGTTCAACCAGCTAAGGGCGACATGGACCTGGATCACGAACGTTCGGCTATGCTGGAAGATAAAAGTCTGGATTTTGACATGTCGTCCATCAAGAGTAAGAAAACTTCGGTCGCTCTCAGGCAACGCATGCAAGGGGCAGCGCGGGAGACACCTGAGGCCAAGCGTCCGAAGATGCTTGGGGACGTAAGCTTGGAACATGTTTTTCCCATGCTGACCTGTGGCTGAGCAGCGGACCCAGTCGACGCACAGTGGGGCCCAGCAATGAATGCGATCCCAGAGATACCCCTGGACCCCAGCGTTGCCTGCGCGAAATCTAGCTCGGAGATCCGTGCCCAGATCGCCGCTGCCATCCAGTGCGCGCCAGATCGAGGAGCAGTCAAGGATCTTGTGGGTCGTCATCCGGCGGTCTTTCGTTGACAATGGGTCGTTGGACCGGAGGGCCTCGATGTTGCCCGCTCGCCGAGAATAGGTGCCCGGAAAGGCACGCGGCATATAAGGTCCGCGTCGTCGACCCGTGCGCGGAGACTGCTCGCGCGTATGCCAATTTTGTAGTATTAGTTTGCTTTGCTCTGACTGCATCGACATAGAAGAACGCAGTTTTCCTCATCTTGCTCGTTTAGAATGGCAGCGGGCAGAGGCAGAGCAACGGCAAGCCAATGAAAAGACACTTCGCGAGGTGCTGGCTGCGCAAGTTCGTGTGGTTAAGGTTCAGAGAGATGAACAAATCGTGAGGGGTCATAGCGAGGAACCAACTCTTCTGCGCGCGACGCAACAAGCACATTTAGGTCAACAGGCGGCGCAGGAAACAGCTCTGTTGATTCGGACGGAAGCGGAGACATAAAGGAAGGAGCTGGATGAGCTACCAGAGCAGAAGGTAGCAGAAATTGGAAACCGAGAAGCGGGGGGCACGGCTACAATGGAAGCACCTATGCATCAGCTTCTGCAAGAGGTGGAGATGGAGGCAAGAGGTTTTCATCGGTCAGCGGAGGAAACGATGCGTGCGAGGGCCGAACAGTCGGCCGCCCTTGTCCATCGGACAAATATAGAGACAATGGCGATCGCGCAACATGCGGACTTTCGAGAGCACGCCGCTACTGATGAGGCAACGCAGATGAAAACAGACATGCGTACGATTGTTGAGGACCTTGCCAGGCAGAGAGAGGCACGCGATGAGTTGATTGCTCTTCGGGAATCTAATGACACCGCCAAATCAAGCGGTGGCGCGGTGACGTCTGCGCCGCGGACTCAGCCCGCAGGGCAGGCTGACCCCGCGACGGTCCCACTCGCTGCCAAGGCGCGAAGGAGAGCTAGTTCATCGGGTAGCGGTAGGTCGAGTGGACTGGCGTTCGGGACTCAGCCTTCGACGCCAGAAAGCTCAACGAGCCAGGCCCCGGAGAGGAAGCCGCAGCTGCGCGTCGATGCAGCCCCTGGAGATGCACAAATGTTGATTTGTACGCCAAAAATGTAGGGAAGTACACTTGTGCCCAACGTGCCTTGCCGCGCTGCGATGCCCGCATGGACTCCGCGACAAATCGGCGCGAATGACGCGCCCGGGACAAGTCGGAAGCCTAAGCGGGAACTGCCCGACAACGTCGGCGGGGGGGGGCGTCGGCGTCCTCAGCGATGGGAAGAGCAGGCGCTCAGAGCCAATCTGTTTCACAAGCAAGAGAGCATTCTCATGGATATACGCAAGGAACGAGAGGAACTCGAGAAAGCGAAGGGATATGATATCAAGGAAGACAAGACGGAACTCTCTGTTTTAACAGACGTTGGTTCTACTTCGGAAGAATAATTTGCGCAACGTTTTCGAAAAAAGAAGGAACATACTCCGACGTTTTCCGAAGTTCTCAAGCCGCCCGAAGACCCCTTGCCTGATTCGCCTGGCGATCCTGAGGGGCCGCCCGACCAGCTGCCGCCTGCTGACGGCTCAGCCAGAGGTGGAGGCGGCGGGGGACTGCCCCCCCCCGCCGCCTCCACCTCTGGGAAGGCTTCGGGGATGTTTGGAAATAAGTAGGGAAGTCTTCGGATATCAAGTTAATGCCGATGCCCGACGCGACCGGGCTCAGTGAGTGGAAACTCCATGCAGCGAGGGTGATATTGTCGGCGCCATCTGACTCGGATCACCCATGCGGTAGATCCGACAATATTCAAAACTTCTACGAAACTCAGGGAACTACGGAAGCGTTGATATGATGATTGCTTCGGACCTCACGGAGACACTTTCCCAGATGGGACAGAAGAAGGATCTCCCGCCTCCACATATTCATCTCATCGCGCAGACTTCGCGCATGGGGCATGACGCGCGAAGTGAGTCCCGCTTGCTCACGGGACGCGAGCTTATGCGCCAGGGAAGAGGGGGTGCGCCCTCCCTCCCTCCCTCCCTCCCCCTCCCCTCTTCCTCCCATTCCCACTACTCCTCCCCCATCCTCCCTCTTCCCCCCTCCCTCCTTCCCACATCTCCCCCGCCTGCCCCTCCCTCCCTCCCCCATACCCCTCCCCGCTCCTCCCAACTTCCTCCCCTCTCCCCACTCCTCCCCGCTCCTCCGCATTCCTCTCTCCCCCATGCCTCCCCCATATCCCTCCCACCTGCCCCGCTGCTCCCCCGCCCCCCTCCTCCCCTCCTCCGCCCCCTCCCTCCCACCTTCAGGCCCAGCCCGGGGCTCTGACCAAGCCGTGCAGTCTTCCGGTGCCCCAGGCCAGGCGCGAGCCGCTCTGCCGCGATCTGCTCCCGAAGCGCTGCGCGACACGTCTCTTGCACCACTTCGGCCATCCTCCGATCTGTTCCTTATCTCAGGAGGGAAAGAAACACACCGACACAACTAATCGACGACTCCCAGGAAAATAGGGGAAAATATGGGAAGTGGGGGGAAGACAAAAACCCAGAAAATACGAGAAAACATCTGAGATCCTGTTATTTGTGTGAATTTATTTGTGTGTCCCAGGGCCCCTTCACTATCCGCGGGCTCGGAGCTCCCGACCCCTTCCCTGGGGCCAGCTTGTTCGGCCGGGATCCATGCCTGACGGTCCTGAAAAGAGGGCCCCAGGCCTCGACTCTGGATCCGAAGCCGAGGAAAAACGCTGGGACTGGAGAGATCAGATCGCCGGAGATCGGGGACAGCATGGTGGCGGGCATCCCAGAACTCTCCTCCCCCCCTCCCCCCGGAGGCAGGGGGAAGCGGCGCCGCCACCGCCGCCGCTGCGGGCCACGCTCGAGCCGGGGGGCCCACCGTGCTTCCCCGGGGCCGAAGGCCGGCGAGCGTGCCCCGAGCGGGGCGCCGCGGAACAGGGGGGGGGACCACACCACCAGGAGGATCCCCCTGGGCTCCCAGACCTCCGACGATGTTTCTTGTTTCGTTGTCTTGCAGTCCTGGCGCCTTCTTCATCTCGAGGGGCCGCTATCGGGCTGCGGGGGCCATCAGACACGGATCCTTGACCAAAATGCCCCCGGGGAACGGGCCAGGGCCTCCTTGGGGCCGCACATTGGACACATCACATCCTCGGATGCCTGGGCTCCCCACGACGGTGATGGTGGTGGTGGTGGTGGTGGTGGTGGTGGTGGTGCAGATTTCCTCGTTGCGCTTGCCTCCTGGCCTCCTTCCTATTGCGCCTTGCCGCGCGCGCCCGTGCTCCCGGCGGGGACTGCCCGGCGGGGACTGCCCGCCCCCTGCTGAACAAAGATCACGCCAGGGGCGGCGGGAGCCCGTCGCCCGCCTGCCTCTTCGCCCACCTCCAAGACATCCCGAGGCTGTCTTTTTCTCGATGCGCGGCCCCATGGAAGGTCCCGACCCCTGCCCCTTCGGGGAAGGTACCCCAATGTTCTTCTCGCTTGTCGGGTGTTCTCGTGCATCCTGGGGGAGGGTACCCTCGGATTGATTTTGAGGCTTGGGGTGCTTTGGCCGGCGGAGGGCCTCATGTTCTTGAGGGATACTCTTCTGTCTCAGGTCCGACTGCAGCCCTTCGCCCTGGATCCGCTCTTTCAGAAGGGAAAAAACACAGACACAACTAGTCGTCGACTCCCGGGACAATATGGGAAAATATGGGAAGTGGGGGGGAAGACGAAGACCCAGAAAATAAGGGAAAATATTGGGAAATCCTATTATTTGTGTGTATTTACTTGTGTGTCCCAGGGCCCCTTCACTCTCGATGGCCGCGATCGCGGAGGCACGCCCAGCCTGCCGAGAACACCCCGTCGGAGAGCTGGCCTCGCCGCCCGCCTCCGATCGCCCCGCCTCCGCCCCCGCCCCGCCTCCGCCCCTCTCGGGTCGCCCGCCTCCCCGCCCTCGGCTCGCCCCGCCCCCCCTCCCCGCCCCCTCGCCTCCTCGCCTCGCCTCCTCGCCCCCTCGCCTCCTCGCCTCCTCGCCTCCTCGGCTCGCCCTGCCCCGCCTCGCCCTCCTCGCCTCCTCGCCTCCGCTCGCCCCCTCGAACACCACTCGGCTCGCGGGAGGGCGGCGGCAGCCGTGGCGGGAGGCGGCGGGAGGCCGCAGGGCGGGGGCAGGGCGGCGAGCACGGCGGCCGCCCGCCCAGGATCTCTCCTGCGACGTGTGTGCTTCCCGTCGGCGGCTTGTCTGGAAGGGTGCTGCGGAACGCATCCTCGAGCCCTCGAGCCTCGATGCGCTCCTCGAGCCTTCGAGCCTTCGAGCCCTGGGACGTCCCCGAGACGTCCTGGCGGCTGAGCTTCTGCGAGCCGGGAGTTTTCCCTCCACTTCGGGCCCCCGGGGCCTTCGCAACTCGATCCGGCTCGAGAGACGACGCAGAAGCATGGGGTCTGGTTTTTGTTCGTGATGTCGCGCGTGTATTACAGCGTCAGATCTCAGGTGTCGTCGAAGCCGACGCCGGCGCCCCGTCGCCCCGAGGGGGGGGGCCGGGGCCCCGGAGCTCAGTGCCCCACCGTGGCCCCCAGCAGTGGCGTCCCCGTATCGTGGCCCCCCAACACCGTGGCCTAATTCGGATGTCGCCAAATTCGGGGAGGCGAAATGATGGGCCTGTTTTCCACCACCACCACCATAAGTTGGGGGGGGAAGGGGGTCCTCCTCCTTTTCCTCCTCCTCCTCCTCCACCTCCTCCTCCTCCTCCTCTCCGTAGCCATTTTGGCTCAAGGCTCTTTTAGAACCCGCTTGGGCTTTAAGGGGGCTGAGAGCCCCGCAGCTTGGACTCAAAGCCCCCGTGCTCTTCAGCAATCATTTCACGTCCGCTTGGGTCAGCCTGCCAAGGCGTCCGAGGCTTGTGCGCTCGTCCTACGAAGCCCTGCGATGGCCATCAGTGCCCGCCATGGCGCCAGCTCCGTGGTGGAAGCAGCCTCCCCAGTCCGCAGGTGGTGCAGATTGGGGGGGTCGGGCAGACTCCTGGTCTGTCGCGGCAGCGGGTAACAAGGCGGGCAAATCTAAGAAGAAAAACTCCCCCTACACACTGTGCACTTGCGGCCATTGGAGTTATGACCGTCTTCTTGCACGTCGCCTCTACTGTGTTGGGTGTGGTGAGCCTTTGCAGCCAGGCTCGGGCGCGCGAGGCGCTGCCGCTGGAGGTCCCTGCGGGGTCGGCAATGGTCAAGGATCTCCTGTGGTCGTCGTCGAGGACGCCAGCGCGGTGGCCATCAGGAAGGCTGCTGGTCTCCTCCCCCCAGACGAAGCTACTGCGCTGCTCAAGGATACTGGAGTCGAGTCGGTTCCTCCGAAGGCGCCCGAGTTGCCGGCCTTGCCGGAGTCGGAAATCACGGCTGCGGAGGCTGCCAAGCGCTGGGCCAACAAGGCGCTCGACAAGGCCTTGCACGAGCAGCTCAAGGCGGAGCAGTACCTCCAGGAGGCCCAGCAGAAGGTCGACGAATGTCTCCGCAAGGAGCGGCAGGCTCAGCGTGACCTGGAGGAGGCCACCAAGCGCCACGCCAAGAAGGTGCTCCCTGCAGGCATTGAGGAGAAGGCGCCTACCGCCTCGAGCAAGTCGGTGGTCCACATCGAAGCCTTGCTCGCTGACCCCGAGTCCTTGGAGCTCGATGTTGGGGAGGCGGTGGACCTCTCTGGCCCAGAGTTCTCGGATCATGACCGCGAGCAGTTCGAGAGTTGGGTCACCTCGCACAAGCAGAACCGCGCCAAACTCCTCAAGCAGGCCTTCGAGAGCATCCAAGAGGAGGCCAGGAAGGCCCAAGCATAATATAATAAGCAGACTGAGATGTTATCTAAGAAGCGTAAGGTCGGAGAGGCAGGCGAGGCTGCCCCACCGGCTGCCCCTGCTGCGCCAGCCTCCTCTGGGCAGGCAGCGGCAGGCGGCGGACGCGCCCCTGCGGCGGGCGCCCCAGCGGCGTCGCAGGAGAGTGCGGGCGAGGCGCGCAGAGTGCCGGTGCCAGCCTCTGGTGATGAGGGCCTTGACGAGATGCAGAAGCGCAAGGCCGCTGCACTTGAGGCTGCCAAGGCCAGGGCGGCCAGTGCTGAGGCCAAAATCGAAGGAGCTGCTGCTGCCAAAGGGGCCTGTTCCTGACGGGCTTGCCCTCGTCTATGGCAAACATCAGTGCTTGGGGTCCCCAGGCTGAGAAGTGGTTGAAGGAATGTCGAGCAGACATCGTGGTGTTCGTGGAGACGCGCACTCGTGACTCCAAATTTCGTGACATGCTCAAGTGCGTGGGCAAACTAGGCTGGCGCTCGGTTGGCGGAGAGGCCGACACCACGGAAGCTGACGACTCCAGTGCAGGAGTTCTGATTTTGGCCAAGAAGAACCTTGGGCTGTCTTCTCTGTTCTTGGAGGCCTCGGGCCGTTGGCGCTCCAGCAAGTGTGCGAGGTGGTGTGTCGCCACGGTCAGGCTCAAGCATGTGGCCCTGACGATCGCCCCCATCTACTTGATCTCAGGTGTGAGGTCTACATGTGTGTCCCGCAACCTTAGCCTCTTGTCCGAGATTGGCTCCAGGCTCTCGCAGGTTGCGGGGCCGCTTCTGCTGGTGGGCGACTGGCAGATGGAAATTTCCGACCTCGCGTCCACGGGCTTCATGAAGGAGCTCGGGTTGGTCGAGGTGCCCAGCCCAGACGTCTCTGTAACATGCACTGGGGGGCGAGGAGCCGCGAGTAAGATCGACTTTTCCCTCGTGAATGCGGGCTTCGCCCAGGCTGTCAAGTTCGTCGGCGTGGACCAGAGTGCTCATTGGGGCACGCACTTGGCGCTGCAGTATTGGATTGCATCGCGTCCTCGATCCATTCATGGCTGGAAGCTGGTTGCCCCCCGTGCCCTGGACGTCGCGGCCAGGCCCGACAGTATTATCGACTTGGGCTGGGACGACGCGCGGGGGCAGGCCAGGCTTCTGCGGTGTGAGAGGCTGGCCCGTTGTCAGTCAAATTTTAAGGCTGCCAGAGATGCCCTGGCACAGCGCGACACTCCGAAGGTATCCTTGCAGCTCGGCCAAGAGCTCAGCGAATGGGCCTCGGCGCTTGAGCTAGTGCATTGTGGGGGAAAGGGCATCCCAGGCGCTGATTGGGAACGGTACCTCGGCCGTTGTCAGCAGCCTCGCATCCGTTGGATGCCGATCGTTCCCAAGAGTTCCGAAGGGCCCCCTCTGGCCGACCGGCGCGCGCGTTTCTGGGCGGCTGTTTCAGCCCAGCTTCTTCATTTAATGCGGCTGATCGATCCCGATTGTGATCCCAATGAAGCGGCTGCCCCCCTTCAGAAGCATTCTGGCCAGTTTTGGGCTCTGGCGAAGGGGCTTCGTGACCTGACCCCTCCGAGGCTCTCGATCCGGGGGGCGCTGGGGAGGCGGCCGCCTTGGGAAGGTGGGCCACGCGGCCCACATCTATCTCTACCCTGGACCCTCCGAGTTTTCAGCAACTCCAGGAGGGCGCCCAGGAGCGGGCCAATAAGGCGGCCAGGCGAGCCGCCTTCGGAAGCGCGGGCCCGTTGGAAAGTCTGGCTGTCTGAGGCCCTTGCGGGGTCAGCGCCGGCGGCGCATAGGCTGCTCAAGCCCAACGTGGGCCCCGAGGTGCCGAAAACGGAACCCATTTTTCAAGGTCACCCGGCTACCGCGGCCAGCGAGATGCTGGAAGTCGAGTCGGAGGCCTGGGGCAAGATTTGGAGTAGGCACTCTCGGAAGGAGGCTTTGGAAGCTTTGGCTACCTGGAGGGTAGCGGCTCGAGCGTCTCCTTTGTCCGACCCCATTTCGTCCCAGCAGGTGTTAGCAGCTCTTAAGACGATGCCTGACCGTCGCGGCGAGGGAGCCGATGGGATGCCGCCGCGTCTGGTCAAGGATGCGCCTCCTGAGGCTATTGCTGCCTTGGCCAGCCTTCTGACTAGAATCGAGCATGAAGTGACTTTATCCTTTCAGGAACTGTTTGATCTTATCGCCCTCCTGGACAAGGAGGACGGAGGCCTGCGCCCGATTGCCCTCCTTGATTTGTGTTACGTGATTCTGCGTAGGATTCGCAAGCCTGTGATTGGAGCTTGGGATCACGAAGCCCACGGGTCCTGGGGCAAGACTGTGGGCTCGTCGGCCGAACATGCGGGCTGGCTCGATGAACTGGAGACCGAGTTGGCTCTTCTAGGAGGTTTCTGTATTGCCGGGGGCTTGCTTGCTATGCGCAAGTTCTATGACCTGGTCTGTTTGCCTGACCTCGCCCAAGCTTCTCGCGACCTCCACTATCCTCTCTGCCTCCTCGTCCTGGCCCTGGATGTGTATCTTGGGCCCAGGATGTTGACGCTCCAGCAGCAGGTCCACCCAGGACTTCTTCCTGGGGGTGGGATCTTGGCGGGGTGTGGCCAGGCGGTCTCCCAGGCCCCGTCGTATTTATATGAGCCTTTGGAGGCTACTAACAAGTCGGCTCCGGGGCTCAGGCTTCGGGAATGGGTGGGCGACATCTCTTTCCGCCTCCATGGTTCGGAATATTCCGTTGGTATTTCTTTTCCGATAGTCTTGCGTGCTCTTCTTCAGGGCCTTCGCAGACGTAAGTGTGTTCTAGCGCTCCCGAAGTGCTATTTGATGGCCTCCTCGGCCAGCCTCCGCCGCAAGCTAGCCGGCTGGGCGGGGGAAGCTGGGGGAGAAACTCCTCAGCTAGGCCAGGCCACCGCGGCCCGAGATTTGGGCCGCGACACGACCATGGGCGCCTCCAGGTCGGTCAAGGTTAGGAAAGCCCGATGTTTGAAGGGCAGGCGTGCGGCTCTCAAGATTTGCTGGTCTAGTTAGGACCTCTCCTAAGTCCTCGAAGCTGTACCTTTTCAACGCTTTTCCGAAAGCTGTCTGGGCCCCTGAAGTCCATGGGCCGGCACCCAGCATGGCCAAGCAGCTCCGTGGACAGGCGCGGCTGAGCAGTAAGTGCCCGCAGAGAGGCTCTTGCGCCACCACGGCTATTCGAATCAGTCTGGGCTCTAGCCGTGACCCTGCTATAATGTGCATCAGGCGTCTCGTCGGAGCTTGGTTCGCTAGAGTTTTTCGGTCCCCTGAGCTAGTTGCACGTATCGATGCGGTGTGGTCGGAATCTCTCGAGCGTGTGAAAAAAAGACTGGAATTTAGTTCGGGGGCCCCTAGGTGCTTTTCAAGCCTCAATTTTGGACCTCGGCTGGAGCTGCCCGTCGATCACGAGCTTGGTGGAGCCCAACGGTGACGAATGGGCCCTTCAAGATGCCGGCCTTGCTCCCCCCTCCTGCCTTCTTGATGCTTTCGAGGCCTCTGTGGAAGCTTCGATTTGGGAGCGAGCGGCGAAGCACCTTGATGGAGCTGGCTCTGAAGCTGGGGTCTGGTGGCAGCATGTAGTCCCCCTTGCCTCCAGGCTGGAAGCCGATGATAACCGCGCGATGGCGAGTATGGTCCGTCTCATTGCCTGCGGAGGCTATTGGACTGAGCAGCGTAGGTTCGAGGCAGGCTACCGCTCGGATCCGGACTGCCAGAGGTGCAAGGCGGCTCCAGAGACCAGCTCCCATAGGTTTTGGAGCTGCCAGTGCAGCACGCATGATGAGGCTTGGGCTCTCCAAGTAGGCAGTCAGCCCCCCCCGCCCGAAGTCGTGGCCACCAACCAGCTGATCCCCGAAGCCCTCCAGGAGGTTGGTAGTTGCCCAGTGTTCTGGTACCGTGGACTGGTCCCCCTTGCTTGGTTGGAGCTCCCTACTCCTCCCTCGTCCAAGGACCGTGTCTGGATTCGGCGGCCTGAGGGCACGCACCTCCCTGGGGGCATTTATGGGGTCGATGGCTCAGGGGGCATTTGGTCAAAGAGCTCACTTCTTCGGCGGGTGTCTTGGGCCTTTGCACGCCTGGATCCTGAAGGTCTGGATGGCCTAGGTTGGGACTCGGGGTGCACCAGTGTGGTCGACAGCCCTAAGCAGTCTGTGCCGAGGGCCGAGTTGTGTGCTATTGTCGAGTGCGTTAGGGCTGTCGACCATTCAGCGGATCTTTTTATTTGGTGTGATCACATCAATCATGATCGATCCCTCAGCAAAGGGAGACACCACTGTTTCAAATTAGAGCACGCGGATTTGTGGCGTGAGCTGCATGCTCTCCTGCACGTGCGTTCAGGCAGTTTTGAGCTGCAGCATGTGCCGTCCCACTTGGCCGAAGATGAGACTAAGTTTCAGAGGCTGGCTGCAGGTGCCCCCCCTGGGGCTATCTTCATCAACTCAGTAGCGGACGGCCTTGCGGACTCTAGGTGCGAGCTTTGCCAGATCGCCCCTGATGTTTGCAAGAGAGCTCTCGACCTCGTCGCCAAGGCTGAGTCGGTTCTTCTCCGCAGTGCGAGTTTGTCAATTGCTGCTGCCTCATGTCTTCGTGTGCCGCTCCGAGAGGTCAAGCCCGTGCCAGTCCCTCCCGGTGAGAGGCGGACTAAGAGGCGCGAGGCGGCAGCGGCAGCCTCCTCCCACCGTTTTCAGGCCATTGGTGCGGGCTGGCGTTGTTTCAGGTGTGGCAAGCTGGTCCTCTCCAGCAGCTCATCCGTCATGGCCTACCTGAGGACTGCCTGCCCCGCCCGCCCCCCCGGCCCCGCCCAAGAGCCTCCTGCTGCAGAAGCTGGGGTTGAAGGACCCGCGGGGGAGTTGAAGGCCTTGACTGGTGGAGGTGGAGGAAGAAGGCCAGGAGCTGTTGTGCTCTCGGATAAGTTTTTAAGGCTTCCGCCCATAGATGAGGTTTTTTTCAGGACTGTCTGTGGATCGCACCCGCCGAGGCGTCTTGAAGGCAGGGGATTTCTTGGCAATATGCTTCACACCTCCCACGACTTGTGGGAGAAAGGCTCGTATTGCTTTTGTAGTAAATGCGGACGGTACATGTCCTCTGCGAATCCTGGTTTTCTGGTAGGTTTGTGTGAAGTCGACCAATATGGTCGACATGATCTTGTCAAGGCGCAGTGCACTTCGCTGCAGCGCCTCAGGAAGGGATTGCCTCCCAGGTGCGGAATCAGCTCCTGGGGTGAAGGGTACAGTGGGCACAGTGCCCCTACACCCTCAACCTCCTCTTGCAGTGGGGGTGGTCGGATCTCTTCGTGATCCGTGTCTGTTTCACCAGGCGTTCAATCTCAGGTTTCCTGATGCTTGTGCTGCCTGCAGCTCCTAGCAAAAGCTCCTCCTCCTCCTCCTGGCTGTAGAGCTGCTTCTATAACCCAGTACCCCTTTGGGTCATGAAGCAAGTCACGACGGGAGGCTTCGTTTTCCCCCTATGTTCGGCCTCCCTGGACCCTTGGCCGGGCCACGGGGCCGTGACAGAACAGCTCAAAATGAGAAGCTGGTCCAGGTGAGTGGGTCGAGACCTCTGGGAGGGGCAGGGGCAGGGGGAAGGGGGATGGGGGAAGGGGAGGGGGAGGGGGAGGAGGAGGAGGAAGAGGAGGAGGAGGAGGAGGAGGAGGAGGAGGAGATGGAGATGGAGGAGGAGGGAGGAGGAGGAGACGGAGGAGCAGGAGGAGAAGGAGGAGGACGAAGAGGAGGAGGAGGAGGAGGAGGAGGAGGGAGGAGGAGGGAGGAGGAGGAGGAGGAGGAGGAGGAGGAGAGGAGGAGGAGGAGAGAGGAGGAGGAGGAGGAGGGAGGGAGGAGGAGGAGGAGCAGGAGGAGGAGGAGCAGGAGCAGGAGGAGGAGGAGGAGGAGGAGGACGAGACGGCAGACGGCAGACGAAAGACGGCAGAAGGCAGACGGAGGCAGAGAACGAGGATGATAATTAGGATGCGGGTGAGTATGACAATAAGGACGACAAAAGGAGGAGGAAGAGGAGGAAGAGGAGGAGGAGGATGAGGAGGAGGAGGAGGAGGGCGGACGGAATTAGGAGGCCGAGGACGAGGAAGGAATCACAACCCATACTCAGCCGCTGCTCCTTCCTCTCGTCCTTCCCAGATCGCGCAAAGACGGGCTGAGAAGCCTCCAAGAGGGCCCCTAACAGGGACCAAACCATCACGTTCCTGGAACGCTTTCTGGGAACATGCTTGTCGCCGCCAGTCTGAGGAGAACGAGGAAGAGAGGGAGACGGAGGGCGGATGCCGATGACAAAAAGGAGGGGAGGAGGAGGAGGAGGAGGAGGAGGAGGAGGAAGAGGAGGAGGAGGAGGAGGAGGAGGAGGAGGACGAGGACGAGGACGAGGACGAGGACGAGGAGGACGAGGAGGACAAGGATGACGAGGATGAGGAGCACGAGGGGTAGGTAGGATGATGATGATGCTGATGATGATGATGAGGAGGAGGAGGAGGAGGAGGAGGAGGAGGAGGCGGAGGAGGAGGAGGACAAGGACGAGGATGAGCACGAGGAGGAGAAGACGGGGGGGAGAAGATGAGGAGGAGGATCAGGAGAAGGAGGAGGGCGAACGGAATGAAGAGCCTGGGAGTGCGATCCTAATTGAGGAGCGGCTTATTGGTTCCCTCTTTCCGCCCACTTCCCACATCGTTCAAAGACGCCGAAAGGCATCCAAGAGGGCCCCAGCACGGCCCAAACCATCATGTTCACGATGAGCTTTCGTGGAACATGGTTGTCGCCGCCAGTCCGAGGAGGGGGGCGACGAGGAGAATGAGGAGGAGGGAGGCGGAGGAGGAGGGGGAGTAGGAGGAAGGAGGAGGAGGAGGATGAGGAAAAAGGGGGTAGAATAAGAAAGGGAAACGGATACGGAGTGCGGAGGCAGGGGATGAGGGTCGAATGTGTGGAATCGTGCCGCAGAGGGGCTGGCTTCCTGTAGGGCGATGGTGGAGGTGCTGGGGTGGCCACGGAGTTTGGTGAGGACGTTCCAGTTTGCGTCGGGACGGGTGACGTTGGCACTGACCAAGTGGGCCATCTGGGGGCCGTCTCCATCGGTGGGGCTGAGATCGTTCCTAGCGTTGCGGTTCCTCCTTGCCTTTAGTTCTGGGGCAGGTTCGGGACTTCCCGGAGGTTGTTCGTGCCCACGGTTTGGATACCCCTTGGAATTATAGACAACATGAACCGCAGGAGAGGACTGCGATTATGTTAATGATGAGGAGGCGGATGGGGAGGAACAGAAGGATTGGGTCGGATTGGGCTCGTGGAGTCAAGGGGCGGACAGTGGAGAAGTGGATATAGTGTTGCGCGTGAGATCCGTCGGAGCTTCACAATCCTAATTCACAGCTGGCCCGAGCAACCCAGCCGCGAAACACTACGCAACGCCCCGCAACACTGCTCAACACCGCGCATTTTATTGAGCTGCGTTGAGCGGCGTTGCGCGGTGTACGTCGGTTTCCAGGTCGCTTCCTGAGGCTCTTGTCGATCGGGCACGTGTGCAACGAAAAGGGGAACATGGTGGAGGAGGAGGAGGAGGCCATGCGGGAGGGACACGTGCTGCAGAGGACCAGGGCGGCGGCGGCGGCGGCTGCGAACGTGCCGTGCACCATCCGCGTTGACGTCATGCGCGCCACGGCTCGAAAACCGTGCTCAGGATTGCGTCTCTCCCTTCCGCTCTCTGCCCCCTCGGCTCGGCGCGCGTAGTGCTGCCCGACGCTCTGTGTCCGTCCCGCCCCGTATTCGTCTCCGTCGGTCTGCTCCTCTGCCCGTGCGTCCGGCCGCCACTCCTCCCGCCGTTTTTTTTTTGAATGTTTTTGTTCGTGTTCTCCCCCTCTCTCTCATTATGTGTTCTCTCTATATGTTTCACTCCCTCGCTCTCTTGCTCTCTTTCTCTCCCTCTCTTTCTGTCTTGCTCTCTCTCTCTCTCACACACTCTCTCTCTTTATCTTGTACTGCCATTCGTTTCATTATTATTTGTTGATAATCTTATTGTCAGTAGCATCGTTATACCTCTCTTCTGTCTCTCGCTTACGCTCGAGACCGCGTGTTCTCTTTCGGATGTGCACATCTACACGCATATATTGTTCCTCTCTCTCTTTCTGTTTCTCCTTCTCTCTCGCTTTGTATACAGTGCATTCTGGATTGATTCAGTTTTGAAGGGCCGATGGGTTCGGCATCCCTTCCTGGGGGGGCAGGCGGTGGCACGCCGGCGGGAGGCTGGCAGATCTTGGGCGGCGAAGGTTCTGCCGAGGGAGGCCCGTGGAAGCGAGCGGTTCAGCTCGACAGGCTTGCAGGGCGGACCGTCTGCGTGTGCAAAGCACAAGTGCAGTCAGCCCGCACAGTAAGGATGGGCAACCTTCCCAAGGGCATGCTTGCATCCTTGCCCCGTCGGCCCATCCTCAGCGACTCTCGCTGGCCAACCTCGTTCGAAAAACGTCAACTTTGCCCTCCAAGGCCCTTGCAGACTTACCGCGCATCCTTGTGAGACGGGCTGGCTGTATCCACGCACGTGTATGTGCAAGTTTGGGTACACTGCTTTCACCCTGCTTACCTCCCCCTGCCTCAGACCTCTTATGTCTCCCCACCCAACCTGCAGCATTCACACAGGTCCCCATCGATCTATTTCCGTACCTTCGACACTGGTGGGAAACTGGTGGGCATTTGCAAAAATAAACAAACACCGTTTTGGGAACCTCAAGCAACTATCCAGAATTCTCCTTAGCGCTGCTTCTTCACCTGTTTCTCCTCCTCCTCCTTCTGCTTCTTCACACCCCCCCTCTCATCCCCTGCCCCCCGTCTTCCCCGTCCACCCTCATTCTCTCATTCCTCTCCTCCCCTCTCCTTCCTTCTCCACTCCCCCATCCCTTCTCCCTGCCCCCCTCCTTCCCATCCTTTCCCCCTCTTCCCTCCTCCCTTCCTCCGCCTTGCCCCCCTTGTCGTCGTCGTCCTCCTCTTCCTTCTTCTTCCTCTTCCTTCTCCTTCTCCATAACTTTTTCCCGAAAGATAACTCATCGCTGTAACCCCCCCAAACGTGTTGATAGGGTTGGCCGGGCGTTTTGCCTGAGACGTCCTCACCGCTCACGATCTTGAAGTTTGGAGCTCGCTTCAGTTGCCCGGATCGAACGAAGTCGTTTCCAAGACGGAGTTCTCGCACTGACGCCGGGCGCACCCGTTTCAAGCCATTGTGTCAGTTACAAGGATGGGGGCGGATGGTATTGGAAATCTGGCTCTCACCTTTCTGGACGCCCGAAATGGGTACCGAAAGAATGGGTGCAATGCCCAACAGCAGTACCTGTTCATTTTGAACAGGATTCGCTGTCCACGCCGCCGCGGCCTGTGTCCATTCGAGACAGAAGGCCGCCTGCCCAACAGCGGCCGCTGTTGGTTTGGGACAACATTTGTTGTTGGGCACTGTACCCATTCTTTCCGTACCCATTTCGGGCGTCCAAAACCTTAGCGCCGTGCGCATTCGTCTAAACAGCTTGCAACATCTACAGCGATCGAGCAGAGGACGTTTTCAACATGTGGCTCCCGCCCTGCGCCTGGCGCGTTCGATGCGCGAGCTTGCAAGAGCTACAGGGGTGGAGGGCGGCGCCTTATCAGAATGGGGCTCTCGCCTCAGCGCCCCTCACCTGTTTTACAAATCCCCATCATCGCTTTGCTCGGCATCGCTCGGACGTGTGTATTTTTTTCTCAGCGAGGACCCTTGAGGAACATCCTTGATCATTTGGCAGAAAACCACGCACGAAACCGAAAAAGGCACACGGAGTGGACGTCCGAGCGATGGCGAGTTTGCGCCA